TCTTACTTGTTGCCCTTGGTAAAGTGCCATGACATTATTACAGCTCACAGCAACCTCAAATTCTTGGGCTCAAGAGATTCTCTTGCCTCAGCCTCCCGAGTAGCTAGGACTACAGGCGCCCACTACAACACCCGACTATTTTTAGAGACAGGGTCTGGCTCCTGCTCAGGCTGGTCTCAAACTTGTGAACTCAGGTAATCTGCCACCTTGGCCTCCCAGACTACAGGTGTGAGCCATCGAGCCTGGCCTCTGATTCTTTTAAATACACAAGTTCCCTTTAATTTACCAACATACACTACGAAGTAAAAAACAAAGACACATCTGTGCCCTCCAAGAGTTTACAGTGGGGGAGATGGGTAAGCAGAAAATAAATGGGTAATTTCACTACAATAGGCTATGTGTTATTATGGAATATGCCTATGTTACAAGTGGAGAAATAGAGGAAGGGCACATAATTCTCCGGTAAGATTTAGAGACCTTTGGAAAGGTTTTCCTTAAGCTGGGTTTTGAAGAAAGAGCAAGGTCCACAAGGGGCTGGGGAAGACTCATTCCATCAGAGGGAATAGCAGGAGCAAAGGCACGAAAACATTTAACAGAAAGGTATGTCAGGGCTTCCACAGACAGGATTCAGTGTGGCTAAAGCATATGCCACAGCATAACGTTTTGGCTGGGAACAAGAGGTAAAGCAGGAGAGTGGGTTAAGGACCAAGACATCAGGAACAACAGTGGACTGTAAACAGGGAAGTGCCATGGAAACACTTGCATTTTAGAAGGAACATTTTGGCAGCATTATGGATATTGGCCTTATAGGACCTATATTGAAGGCAAAGAGACCACTGAGAAACCTTGTGCAATTGTCTAGGCGATGAAGACCTGATTATAGGAATGATAGTAGGGTATCTAAGGACATTCTGTCCTGTTTTATATTCAAAGTCAGAAGTTCAGAGGAATGATACTAGAGAAATATTGGAATCATGAGTGTACAGTTAGCAAGTAAAACACTACCACCACTAGGATTGGATGAAATTATCCAGAGAAACACATGGAGTAAAAATATCGTAAGTTGACCACTAAAGTTGGAGGAACACCATGTATAAGGAATAGGTAGAGAAGAAAATACAGATGGTCAAGAAGGTAAAAAGATTTAAGAGACCATGGAAGCCTCCATTGGAGTAGAGGGTTGTAATAAGGGCACCAGTGTGAGGATGAATGGGGAATACTACTCTAATTAATTCATCCTGTCCCTTCTCCCTACCATCCCTTCCCTTTCTACTTTCTAACATCACTTGGCTTCACCATCTTTCCCCTGGTTTTTGTCTTTTGCTATAGTCTACCTTTCTCTACTCTTTATTTTGAAAAATTTCAAGAATGCAGAAAATAGAAAACTTACAAGAATAGTATAATAGGCTGGGCACAGTAGCTCACCCCTGTTATCCTAGCCCTAGCACTCTGGGAGGCTGAGGCAGGAGGACTGCTTGAGCCCAAGAGTTTGAGGTTGTAGTGAGCTAGGATGACACCACTGCACTCTACCTAGGGCAATGGAGTGAGTCTCTGTCTCAAAAGGAAAAAGAATAGTATGATAGGCTCAGCGCCTGTGGCTCAAGTGGCTAAGGCACCAGCCACATACACCTGAGCTGGTGGATTCAAATCCAGCCCGGGCCTGCCAAATAACAATGACTGCAACCAAAAAATAGCTGGGCGTTGTGGCTGGTGCCTGTGGTCCCACCTACTTGGGAGGCGGAGGCAGGAGACTCACTTGAGCCCAGGAGTTGGAGGTTGCTGTGAGCTGTGATGCCACAGCACTCTACCCAGGGGGACAGATTGAGGCTCTGTCTCCAAAAAAAAAGAATAGTATGATAAACACTCATACTATTCACTTAGACTAACCAGTTGTTAATTGCCATATTTGTGCAAGCTCTCTGTCCATGTGTGTATATGTACAAATATGTACATATGTATACATATGTAAAATGTTATGTTTTGGTTAAGTAGAATTAGTTGCAGACATCATACTTCACTATAAGATATTTTGGCTTATAGTTCCTAACTTGGACTAAAAATTCTTCTGCTAAACCACAATCACAGTTAGGAAGTTTAACCTTGAAGTGATTTTTATCTAATCAACAGTCCATATTTATATTGCCCCAATTGTCTCAGTAATAGTCTTTATAGCTTTTCCCTCCCCACTCCAGGTTAACTTATATCTTCCTCCAGGTTAACTTATACCTAGCCTTTAAGATTCTGTTACTTTATCCTATAGATCAATGGTGTGCCATGAGAGGATCCTAGGTGTGCCTTGAAATTTTTTTTTTTTTGAGACAGGAGCCTCAAGCTGTCCCCTTGGGTAGAGTGCCGTTGCATCACAGCTCACAGCAACCTCCAACTCCTGGGTTCAAGCGAGTCTCTTGCCTCAGCCTCCTGAGTAGCTGGGACCACAGGGGCCAGCCACAACGTGTAGGTATTTTTTGGTTGCAGCTGTCATTGTTGTTTGGCAGGCCCGGGCTGGATTTGAACCCACCATCTTGGGTGTACGTGGCTGGCGCCTTAGCTACTTGAGCTACAGGTGCCGAGCCGTGCCATGAAAATTTTTAAAGATCATTAATGAAATTATTTTTGAAAGATGTTCAAAGCACAGTAAGTATATTCTTTTATATTCTTTTTTTTATTCCTTTTTTTTTGATCAGTATAATTTAAATGTGCTGCAGAAGTTTATTGGTTCAAGTGTGCCATGAGATAAAAAAAAAAACGGTTGAAAAACACTGTGATAGGCTTGGCACCCGTAGCTCAGTGGTTGGGGTGCTGGCCATATAGCCCCATACAGGGGTTAATGGGTTCGAACCTGGCCTGACTAAACAACAGTAACAATCACCATAACAACAAAAGTAGCTGGGCACTGTGGCGGCGCCTATAGTCCCAGCTACTTGGGAGGCTGAGGCAAGAGAATTGCTTAAGCCAAAGAGTTTGAGGTTGCTGTGAGCTGTGATGCCACAGCACCCTACTGAGGGTGACATAGTGAAACTGTCTCAAAAACAAAAACACTGCGATAGATATTAGTTCAGTGCTTATAATCTACTATGCACTATGTTAGGTGCTGGGATACAGTCCTAAACAAGATCAACATAATCTCTGTCCTTATGGAATTCATACTGGCTGAAATGTTATCATCTCTTTTGTGTTCCTCTTTATTATAAAATGTATTAACTTTTTTTTTTTTTTTAAGATGGGAGAGTGTCACTATGTTGTTCAGGCTGGTCTTAAACTCCTGACCTCAAGAGATTCCCCTGCCTCAGGCTCCTCAGTAGCAGGGACTATAGGTGCAAGCCACAGCAATGGGCATAATTTATTACATTTTATTGCAATTTTATTTGCATGTTTGTCACCACCCTGCTAGACTGTAAGCTTTTCAAGGTTGTGATAAATTTTATTTATCTTCGTTTCCCCAACATCTAGAGCATAAATAGTAGGCACTAAATGTTTGATTCAATAATTGAATTGGGAAAAAACCATTTCTGCTGTGTTAGCTAGCAAGTGTTCTTTTAGTTAAGGAATATGTTTCAATATAATTAAATTCTCCTAGAGAGGGTTTTAGTTCTTCAAATCATACCACATCATCTTCTTACGGTTAAGGCATGGGTCCAAAACTATTTTCCAGTGGAAGATGCAGTAAATAAAGTAAGAATTAGTCTTCTGCACTGCGGCTTCTACTAAAATTCTACCCGGTGATATGAAAAGTTCTTTGGTCAGGGGCATTTCCAAAGCTGTTGCAGCAACGGAAATGACAGTTAAATTTCATGCCATCTTTCTAAAACACCTTTTCACAGAGATCTGTTAACACTCCTCCACAAATAGCCTTCAGGCAATCAATCAGTTTCCATTACCAGTTCAATTGATCCTTCTTAAACACCGATAGCACTATTTCTGGTACTTGCTTATATTTAATTTTACGTTTTATGCTATGCAGCATTGGTATTTTAGTCGCTGTCTTGGTTCTCTAAAGAGATTACAGCTTCCTAAAGTCTCCTATAGCATAGTGTTAGGTATACAGTAGACAGGTCACACTTTTAAAATAGACATTCTCAATAGAATTATTGACTCTATCAGGAATATAATAATAATCCCAGTCAAGACTATTACTTCTCAAACGCAAGTAATGTACCTTCTCAAACTTTAATGTGCATAAAAATCACTTGGTGGTATCTTGTTAACATGCAAAGTGTGAAGTCCGATGATTTGTACCCAAATACATTTTGTGGAGCGTTAGTTTAGTTAAATGGAAGTATGGTTAAGATAGAGCCAGGCCGATCACTTCTTCCCCAGCCTCAGACATCCCCTTTCCCTCTCCATCTCCCCTCCGCCTCCAGCCAAAGTCCCTCACTCCTTAAGCCATTAGAATAAAACGGCAACAGACCCAACTACGGAAGACGCGAGCCCAGACGACAAAGAAAGAATAGTCCCTGCACTTACTAGTCTAAGAGCCTGGGGATTAGATGGAATTCGGGCAGGGGCCTCTTCCACGCCATAAAGAAAAATTCAAAATTAAATCCTTCTCACAGAGGGACCAATCATAGATATAGTTTCTCCACGATTCCCTCCCCTGGCTCGTGATTGGCTGAGATAGAACAATGCTCCAGCCATTCAGAGCTGAGGCGCTTCTAGTACGAATAGAGAGAAGGCGGGAGAGACGCGGAGGGGTCGCAGGAGAGGAAAGAAGGTGTGTCACGTCCCCTATGCTGTCGGTGGAAGCTCTTGTGTAATTGGTTGGTTCTTCTTCTAATTGTACCAATCGCAAGCCCTTATCTCCGTAGCCCTAACTATGAAATTGAAGGTAGAGAAGAGGCAGTAGCCAATGGGAAAAAAAGTGTGAACAGCAGCCAATCCTCCTGCGGCGTTTTGTGTTTCTGCCCAACAGTAAAATGTGTTTCATGCGGGGGGGCGTTACCTAGTCCCCAATGGGCGGGAGCTGGTAGGACGCATGAGCCAATGAGTGCCAGAGTTTGAGTGACAGCTGTCCAATAGAGACCCTCAGTGCTGGTACGGCTCGCGGCTTAAGCGCCGCCGCGGTCTGAGGAATGTCAACTATTCAACATGGAGGCGGAGGTCGATAAGCTGGAACTGATGGTGAGTGCAAAGTGAAGGGGATCTGCTGGGCAGTTTATTTTTCCCCAATAGCCCCGAAGTTAGGGCGCAATTTGGAGTTGCTGGAAACTCTCGTGGCGGAGGCTGGACCAGCATCTAGTTCCCTCCTCCTGCGCCAAAGGGAGCCGCCACTGTCTCTAGTCTAAACCGCTGCGGGGGGAAGGGGTTACATCCGGGAAACTCGTGAGGGAAATGGCGGGAGATGCTGAGGGTCCGTGCGGCCTTTGGAACTCCTTATTCCTTGTCCTCACCTTTCCATTTCTCAGGGAGCTGCGCCTGGTGCAGACAGCGCTCGTTGTTTCCACCAAAGAAAGATGTGACTGTAAAGTCCTCTAAACGCCCCAAGAACAGGAGAGGTGGTTCACACTCCCCAAAAGGGGATGGTGGGTGGGGTAGAGAACAAACCAAGGAGGGTGGGGAGAAATCCCCTTAGTTTACGTTCTCAAAGGCGTGCTGAGAAAGTCCGAGAAAGGGGGCTAGGCTTGTGCACAAGTTCCTAAAGCGACCAGGGAAGTCCCTAGACTCATTTCTGTTTGGCCCAAAGGGGACAAACCTGGGGTGACGGAGCGGTGTGAGCGATGGGGATGTGAACCACTAGCTCTTTCTAGAGCGCCGGCGCGACCGGGACCGGGAAAGCACCTTGCTCTCTAAGCTTTCCAGTTTCATTCATCTGTGAAAGTGGAGGGAGGGGGCGGAGAACTGGAAAAGAACTCTCGGTGTTGCTAGCGTGTTTGGCCTGCACCAGGGCATCAAGCTGGTAGGTTGTCCAGTTTAAGATCTTTACGGATTCTCACCCGTCCTCTTTATTCCCTCCTTCCGTTTTCTAACTCCCAGGTTGATCGCCCGCGCTTTTTTCCTTCTTAGTTCTTTTGTTCTGCCTTCGGCACTTTATATCCTGCGTTGTCATTTTTTTCAGATTGGGCTGGCCTCTTTAAAAGCGTAGAATTTGGAGGACTCTCCCGTCGGGTTATTATTGCTATTATTATTATTTGCTTGCTTGTTGAAGAAAATAACAAGATTCCATAAAAGAAAATAAATAAACTTATTTCCTCTTTCCGAAATCCGTTCCTCCTCATCCACCGCCAACCCTTGACATTACTACTTAGGTATCATTTGCGCCTGTGCTGCCCTCCAGCTGAATCTTGGGTCTCTAACTTATACGTTGAAAAGGACTGATCCTGGAAGAAACTCCATGCTACCTTTATCCCCCATTCCTAACCCAGAAAAAGTGAATCCTTGTTGATACATCTTATTGTTTTCTTCTGTGTTAATGAATTGGAGTGCCTCTCACGTACAAATTTGATTTGAATGCTTTCAGTTGCTTTTAACATCTTGTGTTTGAAATTTTGTGCAGGGAGTGTGAGGATGGAGAGGAGTAGGGAGAAATGGCAGGGAAGAGAGAAAAGAGAAGAATTTTCTGCAGCTCTTCAAACCTGTAGTCATGAACTTTTGTTCAAAGTTTTATTTTTATCATTAACTGCCTTTTTACAAACAGAATGTTACTGTAATTTCATTCTACCAAAAGGCATAAATATTTTAATCTGTCATGCCCCTTCTCCATTCTGAATTCCTCTCTCTAGATATAGATATTTCTGCTTGTTAGATGTTAATTCTGCTTTTAACAGATTGGTTCTTTTATTTTCGCCCTTAGGTTGACTGTTTAAGCTTTTTTGGCCTTTGCAATAGTCAGTATTCCCACAGGACTTCTTTAGATGGAACAAATCCTATTTTAAGAGAACAAGAATTGGGTCAGTGCCTGTAGCTCAGGAGGCTAAGGCACCAGCCACATACATCAAAGCTCAGTGGTTCGAATCCAGCCTGTGTCTGCCAAACAGCAATGACAACTATAACCCCAAAATAGCCAGGTGTTGTGTCGGGCACCTGTAATTCCAGCTACTTGGGACCCTGGGAGACTAAGGCAAGAGAATCCCTTAAGCCCAGGAGTTGAAGGTTGCTGTGAGCTGTGATGCCATAGCACTTTACCCAGGGTGACAGCTTGAGGCTCTGTCTTTAAAAAAAAAAAAAAAGAATTATGTAAACATCTTTAAAAAGAGAGGTTTTAGAAAATTTTAAGTAGTAACACTTTTAAGCTTTTAGATATTGTGTGAATTATGGAATAGTTTTTAAATTCTTTTTGAAGAGAAGAAGAAAACATTTTTTTTCATTTTTTCTCCCTTTTAAAAATCCAAGTTCACAGAACTAGTTAAACATTCTGTTAGTCCTACTATATATATATTTTTTTTTTAATTAATTAAGTTTTTTGAAAGAGACTGGAGTCTCCACTGTGTTGCCCAGGTTGCTGGTCTTGAACTGAACTTCTGGCCTCAAGCTATCCTCTTACCTTGGCCTCCTGAGTAGCTGGGGATACAGGCACAAACCACCACACCTGGCTTTTTCCTTTCTTAAATTTTTGGCAAGTAAATTAGTGGTATTTTTCTTCTTTCTTTCAAGTTATTAGTTTGTTTCCATAGTTATTAGGGTTTAAATATATATTTGGACTTTTATCATGGTTTTAATTTAATTTTATTTATTTTTATTTATTTATTCATTTTGAGACAGTCTCAGTGTGTTGCTGTTGGTAGAGTGCCCTGGTGGCACAGCTCACGGCAGCCTCAAACTATTGGGCTTAAGTGATTCTCTTGCCTCAGCCTCCCAAGTAGCTGGGACTATAGGTGCCCACTACCATGCCCAGCTATTTTTTTGTTGTAATTTTTATTGTTGTTTAGCTGGCCCGGGCTGGGTTTGAACCTACCAGCCTTGGTGCGTGTGGCTGGCGCCGTAACCACTATGCTATGGGCACCGAGCCTTTATCATGGTTCTTTTTTTTCTTTTTTTGAGACGGAGCCTCAAGCTATCCCCCTTGGTAGAATGCCATGGCATCACGCTCACAGCAATCTCCAACTCCTGGGCTCAAGCGAGTCTCCTGCCTCAGCCTCCCAAGTAGCTGGGACTACAGGCGCCCGCC